AAATAGACAATCACAAGACGTTAAAAGCACAGGAGTGCAAATAGGTTTTTAAAAGACTTAAACTCAGGCACAGTGAGCAGACGGGCAGCTGCGATTTGGACCAATTGAAGTCTATGAATAGATGAGACAGGCAGCCCATAATACAACGAGTTGCAATAATCAAGCCGTGATGAAATAAAATTATGGATTACAATCTCAAAACTCTTCCTACTTAAGAAGGGTTTAACTTTGGCTAGTCTTCGAAGGTGATAAAAGCTGGAGCTGACAACAGTTGATTTGTTTGTTCAGCTTTAGGCCACTATCCAGAATAAAAACCAGATCCTTGACATCAAGTGACCGATATAGAGTGAGAGAACTCAAGTCAACAGCACTCAGATCAGTTTTCTCAGTAGGCCCAAAAAGAACAATTTGTGTTTTGTAATCATTCAGATGTAGAAAATTATTGGTTAGCCATGTTTTCAATTCCTGGAGTAGGCTATTAATTGATTTATGACAACCCTGTCATTGTGCACAAATGGTATGTAAAGCCAAGTATCATCAGCGTAGCAATGAAACGACTCACCAAATCTCCTTTAATATAGAACCAATGGGTAACATGTACAGTGAAAACAGGAACAGTGCCAAAGGTGAACCCTGAGGAACACCACATGTAACATGCCCTACAGTAGAAGAATGTTTTCCTATATTTACTGAGAATCTTCTATTGGACAGAAAGGACCGAAACCAGTTGAGTACAGCGCCTCTAACCCCAATTCAGCACTCCAAGCGAGACAGCAAGAGACCATGGTCAACAAAATCAAATGCAGAGCTGAGATCTAACAGCACTAAAGCCAGCTTCGGTAGACATTCAAATGTCATTAAAAACTTTCAAAAACTTGTGTCCAGTTTTAAAATCAGACTGAAAAATATCAGAAATACAAAGTGAACTTCTTTCCCATTCTGCTGCGTCTCACAAGAATGAGTTCTATAAGAAGTGCCAACATGCCACTAATGGAATTGCCTGCCGTATAATATATTTGATCTAAATAATGCAATAATCCAAGGTAGGGCTTTGCTCCTCCAAAATGTGTTTTCATTATAAGGAATTCAGGTTTCTTACTCATCCTTACTTAATTGGATTATAGTTTGCCAGATGTCCTCTACAAAGAGCTCCTTGTTTAAACTCAGAGTGTACTTCAAAAATTAAGGTGGAAACGAATAACTCAAATGAAATATATGATCAGCTGAGATGCAAAGTGACCATCTTTTTAAAATGAGGCAAGTCTATATTTGACTCTTACCCCTCTCGACCTCTCAAACACCTCGCCATTGATGACCCTGAGCCTCTCCTGCTGTAGTGCGTACTCTGGATCCTTCAGTTTGCTGCTATGGTAGATAAAAATGGCTAGCAGTACTACAGGTGCCTTCAGGAAGAAATCCATTGATGGATGATGGTCAAACAGGAAGAGAGAGAGCGCAGTGACGATGACCGTGGTGATCTGGCCCGTAAGCACATGGAACATGTTATCGCGGAACTTGAGAATGAAGGCCACCGACAGGCCTAGGGCAGCTGTGACGAAAACCAGTGCGATGGAGAAGACGTTGTGTCCATAGAGGAGGCCGCAGTGTAGCGTCAGGTCACGGTATTCAGAGTGCAGGAGAAGCGTGAGGCTGTTGAAGATCAAACCGAACATGTACAGCTTGCTGTTTTGGATGAAGATGCTCTCCACTAGCTGCTCCCCCTCCTTGAGGATCTTCTCACTGTAGATGTTGGCCAGTGCAGAGATGAAGCATTGCAGCAGCAGTAGGACGTAACCCAGACCGAAGCTGTTCAGCCGGTGTATGAGCTGGCTGTCCCACATCTCATGTTTCCAGTATGTTTCATTATGGTTCTGATGCTCTGGCTTGGGATGGGCGTATTTTAAGCAGCTGTTAGAAGGGGTGGAAATGTGGGCTGGTTGGAGGCCATGTACAGCAATGGCATGCTGGTCACCGCTGCCAGTGGTCAATGACACAATGGACAGGAACAAAATGATCAAAGATGCCCACTGCACCCAAGACAAGCGCCTCCTGCAGGTCAAAAGATGGAAAGTCAGTAACAGACAAAAATATAACGATAAAAAACAGATATCAAGAAATGTCAGTACTTACTTTAGAACAACTCGGAAGAGAATGGCTGTTGTAAAAATAACAATGTTGGCAAACAATACTGCCATGGCCTATTAAAACATGAGAAAAATATGAATGTTATAGTTTATACATTTGGGGTCAGTACAGTAGCCTGAAAATTTTTTATAATTTAATAATTTTACTCTGAAGGTTGATCAAAAGTGATAATAAATGCATTTATAATGTTACAAAAATTTCAATTTTAAATAAATGAATTTTCTAATCATCAAAGATTGTATTATGTTTCCCACAAAAATATTAAGCAGCACAACTGTTTTTAACATTCAAAATATGATAATATGATAAAATGTTTATTGAGCAACAAATCAGAATATTATAATGATTTCTGAAGGATCATATGACGCTGAAGAAATTCAGCTTTGCTATCATTAATAAAAAAATAAAAATATATTAAAATAAAATAATGTTATTTTAAACTGTGATATTTCACAATATTACTGTTTTTACTGTATTTTTATCAAATAAATGCAAAATATAAACTTATATAAAAAGCATTAAAAATCTTGCAGATCCCAATTCATTGAAAGGTAGTTTATAAATACATCTATTTTATATAGAAATTTAATTACTCTAACTGTAAGAAAAATTATTATTTTTATATAAAGTATTAAATGCAAAGAGTTATTTTTCTTCTAATATTTATCCATAACTTTAAATAATTCAACGTACAGGTTGCAGATAGGTCATCACATAGAAGATTATGAGGTTATCAAGGAAGTAGAGGAATGCAGGAACAGACCATTTCAGGTAGTTGAGAAAAGAGGCACCAGATGAACACCCCAAATCTTTATAAGAGCGGCCCTCTGGAAAACAAAAGCAATAGTTTTCACCCCATAACAAACAACATGTACTACTAACATATATCACAATTCAACAGGCTGTATATATACTAGCTTAGTATGTTTATGAGTATGGTATGAGAATAGAATTTTGAGACAACAAATCTGACTCACCTCGAATGACCACCCGTACTGACATCACTAAACAAAATACTAGTTTGATGGCCTCTGCCATTAAATTCACAGATGCAGGAAGAAAGTCATATTTGTTTTCTGTAGGTAAGAAAAAATTAGTTGCAACAGTTTTTAAAATACAAGTTGCAAAAAGTAAAGTTAACTATTGATTGTATTATGATCATATATTAGGTTGCTCTGTGGTGGTGTAATATTATGTCACCTTCATTGGCCGAGAATTTTAGTAATAGGATGCGACTGGTTCCCAAGGTGACAAAACCCAGACCCAGAACCAAAGTGTAGGCGGAAGATCTTGAGCAAAGCCGTGAGCAAGGACAGCAGCAACGGCAAAAAGAAGAGGATGAGGACGGGGCCATTATGGACAGCGTGAGCTGAGGCTGGTCATAGGAGAATGAACAGGATCACTGAGAAAACATCAGACAATCATATCAATCACAAAACCACCAATGAAAAAAGTATACGTTTTGCAATAACAAATCAAATAACATACGTCATGCAATAACAAATCAAATAATTATTTGGTCTCTCCAGCACTTTCACTCATCAAATACTACTTTGTCAAGACGTGTCACTTTCTGTATCTAGCGCTTTGTTTTCAGCATGATTCACAAACACAAATGATGAGCCAACCAACAAAACATGCAGACATGAAGTCATGGAATGATGGATGACTATTGTGTTTTAAGCGTTTACAGACCGTTCAGAATGGAAGGAACATGAACATTGTGTCTTTGTTCTTCTAAATATTACATCTTTCAGTACAGCACTGTTTAAACATCAAACTCCAAAATGAATAACTATAGATGACTATGGCATGATCTTAGAAATTATCTAAAAATATTCTAAACACATTCAGAATGTAAAACAAACACTGATGCTAAATAATATGTAACAACTAGATACACTAGAACGCAAAACAATTATAATATTTACAGTGGTGTGGTTCATCACAATATTGTGGATTCAATTTTGATTGTTCTGATGTTACCAACGCAATAAAAAAGCAGTGCATCATCCAGTTCAACGACAGGATATTCACATATCATGTGAATGTGGTGATAAAGCACAAATAGATTCATATTCGGTGCTTTATTTACCTACCCATATGTTCTCAATCGAACGAACACCCTGCCCACGGCTTCCGCATCTTTGCGCATGCGTACAACAGAAGCTACGTCACCGCTTGGCTGGACAGGGTTAGTTTAGCTCTTTAATATTAATTAGATCTTACTGACGTTCATTGGTAGCATTCCAAATGTAAAAGGCGTGGCTGGCTTATGAATATTAAAATAAGTCCTTAGTCACAGTAGTAAATTTGTATATACGTGTATATGTATATATATATGTGTATATGTGTGTATATGTATATATATATGTATATATAGGATGGTTTGTTAGAAAATTCCAAATAGATGTCTTTGCCCGAAAAACACTTCTAAGGGAAATGTGGTCATGTCTGAGTCATGTGCAATATTACATAAAGCTCAGTTTGTAATAACAAATATTGTTTTATGTTCTTTAAAGGTAATTATATGACGTGATGGTCTATATCTATGGTGGAGGTAGCCTAAGTGTTAAACAAGGTCCAGACTGTACCCATTTAATCTTTAGATGCACAGACTCATTTTACTCACACATTTATACAACTTGTACACTGTAAACAAGCATTGTATGAAGAAACTATTCAAGGGAAATCATTGGGATTATGAGTAAACCCTTATTATGAAATTGCTCTCTGGGGCCTAAAAGTGTAATTAGGAAATATCTTAGAAACTGAAAACCATATTCATTTATTTCAGATTTCATGATTGTCACATTTACAGTAAAACACTTAGGCTATGTTGATGTTGGCGAAACATGGTGCAGAACCTCTTCATTTTGTGCAGATATAGTTAGTTGGCTGCATAATGCCAATTACCAATATTTTTGCATATGTGTAATTTATGCCTGCATTTGTTTCCAATGGGAAGGATTGAACTGGCAAATATGTTCATATGGTAACTTGGTGTTTTCCATTCTTGTAAACAAAACATTTGCTCACAATAATGAAAAGGTTTTACATGTTCAAAAAGCCTCAGACTACTAATGACTGAACAAAATAAGAAGTTTCAGTTTGTTTGTTTTTTTGTTTTTTTTTATAATGATAGTCTTAACTGCCTTCCAACACAGTGTTTAAACATGTGTGCAACAGGGAGGTGGGGGGAGATAAAGCTCACTGCCATTTCTCTGAAAGTTCAGAATTCCCTGCACTCCGGAACAGACTGTTTCTACCTGGAGTTTCATTGTCAGATATGAAACTCCGCTCCTTGGGCCCTGTGCGGTTTGGCCCTTCTGGCATTCCTGTGTAATTGTGCCACAGCTGTGGAGAGACACTATTACATTACAGCTGTTAATATTAACTGGGACTACACATCTGCTGGACAGCACAGGTATGAAAAAGATCATTATTTATTAGGGTTTAAATTTATTCTTTTGTTTTTCTAAGCAGTTAGATTGAGTTAGTTAAAAGGCAGTTAGTCTGCCTTTTATTTGTTTGGTCCTTGTAGCCTATATCACAGATAAAGTCATTCACTGTTGTAAAAATGTATCAAATAATTACATATCTGTACAGTACTGAGATCGTTTATTAACTAACAAGAAATAGCATTAAAAGATTTTTTTTTTTTATATATATATGTTTAATCAATTTTATGATTAAGGAAGACAAGGGCATGTGACAAAAACATTTTTATATGAAATACAAACAACACAAAAGAGACAAAATGTTAAACCAGCACCCAGAATCCACTGTAAAGTTTGCTGAAAATAATATATAGTATATCTAAGACCAATTATGTCAAGACTTTATTCAAAATGTATAAATATTGGTTTTTATAGTAAATTAAAACTAATAAAAACTAAAACTAAAAAAAAATTGTCTTTAAATTAAATAAAGTTAACTGAAATAAAATAAAATATTTAAAATAAATAATTTATTTTGGCTAGTTGCCAAGGCAACATTTCTCATTTTCATTTAGTTTTACTTAATATACAAAAAATAATAATAATAATAATTAATAAAAAACTATATCAATATATTAATTTTTAAAAAAAAGAAAAAAGCTACATACAGCTAAATTACTACAACTTTAAATTAAAAAGGAAATATATAAATGTAAAAACTCTCTATGATAGTAAAATAAAACTGCATTTTCACACAAATGGGAGTTGCTGTTGTTGTTGTTTTTTTTTATTGATTTGCTCATGTAAGATATGTATTTACTGATTGTTGTTGTTGTATTCCAGGACTGGGCCGTCATATAAAAAAAGTAGTATACAGAGAGTACAATGAGGGATTCACACAGGCTAAACCACATCCCTTATCCTCAGGTATTTTGAATACCAAAGATTTCTTTATTTCAACATTAAAATCCATCCATCCAGTATTATAGAATGCATCTTAACTTTTAAATCATGATTGTTTGAAACTAATGTTCTATTGTTACTTGGGTCGACATTGTGAGGACAAGAGGGTGACACAATCATTGTCACGTTCAAGAACATGGCAGATCATCCCTGTAGCATTCACCCACATGGTATTGCTTATGGGAAGCAGTCAGAGGGTGCGTGTTCTGATGTTATTGTGGTAACAGTATGAGTGACGCAATAGTGTTGTAACATACAGCACACTGGTAACAATTAAACACTGTGCTATGAAATAACAGAGAAATACATTTCAAGAGGAATGTTGTTTAGAAAACATTATGGATTATTTTAGTGCTCATCATTTAGCTGAGTAAACACTTTGAGCAACACAAACATCTGTGTTTGATTTCTTTGGAAATATTAACCCAAGATACAAATTAACCACAGGCTGTGCCTAAGTCTAAAGCAATGATTCTCTGATAAATATTACAGATACAATATACCCATTTTTTTTCTAAAAGCATTTTTTTTTTCCCCGAGATAAATATATGTTGGTTTTATTGTAATAAACATCATCTGAAGCTGCATCCTTCTCACACTGCTAATGTTCCCATTAGGATCATTATACTTTGACAACACGTCACTCTATGAGAAAGAAGATGATGTCATTTTACCCAGCCAAGAGCACACATTCCAGTAGGAGGTGACCTCTGAGGTGACCCCTACAGCTGCGGACCCCCCATGCATCACCTACACATACCTTTCCCACTTTGACATTGTTAAGGACTACAATACAGGGTTAATAGGCACAATGCTGATCTGCAAAAAAGGTATGTGAGGCAAAAACTAAATCCTGGACTTAGAATGTGATGTTTATTTTATGACATTTATGCTTAGATGGGTTAAGATGCCCAACTTTAATTTTCCTCTTGACCACCAAATATAATCTCAAGACATTTACTGAATGGCTATGCTCTTATTTATTAGGCCTCTTCATCTGAACACCAACATTTGTTAAATATATTATATCTGAACAGTTATGAGATCAAATTTATTCATGTATTGATTGATTGACATCGGATTATAGTGATCTTTGAGTTTATTTTATGTTAGACATTAAAAGTGTTTATGTCTCTTTGTTAAAGGGGGATTTGTGGACATAATCATTTATTTAGATTTGTACAGTAACAAATATATTTTATTTAAGTGAACTGGGGCAGAGGGCCATCAGTGGCAAGCGGTTATGAAAATGTTTAAAATGTCAGCTTTAAATTGTAAAAGTGGATTTACAGTCGACTTTAAAATGCTCTAGGTAAAAACTTATAGACTCTACATAGTGAAACCAATATTACTTTATGTAAGGGATAATGTACATCCAGCCTTCAGGGTGATCCCTATCGGGGAATATTCTGCGATAACAACCGGCTGGATGTACATTATCCCGCTTATTACACGGCTACTTGCCACACACAGTAAGTAAATATGTAAGTAAATATGTGTCTAAATTAGACACTAAATACTGATTTGAGTTGAAACGCAATTTATTTATTTGAACGCAAAGCTTCCATGAACATAGCAGTTGCAAGCAAGCGGCAAGTTCAAACTAGACGGACATTTAAAGGGGTCATATGATGCGATTTCAGTTTTTCCTATCTCTTTGGAGTGTTACAAGCTCTTGGTGCATAAAGAAGATCTGTAAAGTTGCAAAGACTAAAGTCTCAAATCCAAAGAGATATTCTTTATAAAAGTTAAGAGTCAACCACACCTACCTAAACCGGCTCGTTCTAACACGCCCCCACATGTCTACGTCACGATGTGGGAAGATTTGCATAACACCGCCCAACTGTTCAGCAAACAAGGTGTCACTTTTATTCTCGCTGTAGTATTGTTGTTGCCGCCGGCGCCATGTCGTGAAGGCGCTGTGTGTTTCGTTGTGAAAGCGAAACTACTTTGTTTGGTCTTCCAAAAGAGGACACGACTAGAAATCAGTGGTTAAGTTGTATTTACAACACTGTTCCAGAACAGTTTAACCCAAATATTCAGATGTGTCCAGCGCATTTTATGGAGGACTGTTTCCTGATCCTGGAAGAGTAGACTACAATGACGGCTGCTCTGACTCACAGACTGTAAGTACGTTTTCATTTAAAGGATTTGCCACTGATGATTCAAACGCGAGTTTTGGGCAGTGTAGAGTAGCATTTGTTGTTTGTCATTTCTCCGATCACAAATGCAGACATGGTTTTATGTTTAAGCGGCGCGATGCAAAAAACGTACTTACAGACTGTGAGTCAGAAC